GCGGACCAGGGCAGGGATGCCTCCAGACTTGAAGATGGCCAGCAGCCCCTCGCGGTGGTGGGAGAGGTTGTGCAGGATGCTGGTGGTGCAGCGGGCCGTGTCCAGGTCACTGGTATTCTGCATGGTACGCACGACAGCCGCCACCAGCTGAGACGAGCCCATCAGGGCCCGTCGAGATGCCTCCTTCTTCGACAGCTGGTTCACGATCATGGCTGCCTTGGTCACTACCACCTGGGGGACGAGGAGGATGGGAAGGTGTGAGCAGAGGGGCCAGGAGGCCCTCCCACAACACTCAGAGGGACCCAGACCAGACTGTGCCTGCCAGAGGGGCTCCTCTGGGTCATTGCCTCCCTCCACCCCAGGGAGGACCCTCCTGGCAGACACCGGACCTCGCCCGACCTCACCCCTCCCCGCCCAGCCCCACCCCAGCCAGGCCCCTCACGGACCGGGTCCTCGTCGTTGAGCAGCTTGGTGAGCTCGGGCAGGGCCCTTGTGGCCAGCTCGGCGTCATCCTGGTAGTTGATGAGGTGGACAATGGCCGACTTGAGCAGCTGGGATGGCTCAGCCAGCCGCTGCAGGTTGGTGGTCTGCCCGTCCACCTGGGTGGTCAGCAGCAGCGAGCTGTCCTCGCCTGTCATGCCAGGACACATGGCTTCCCGCACCCTCTTGGCTCTGGCCGTCGTGGACATCTGGTACTCTAGGTCACCTGCAGGCCAACGGGCAAGGACTGAGCTGCAGAGGCGGGGCAGGGGGACGCTGGGGCAGGGCAGGCCGCAGACAGCCTGGGGTTCTCTGGCCTCCCCACCGGACCGAAGCCCTGGCCTACCCTCACAGTTCCGCCTCTAGTCTATGACCTCGGGGAGGTGACCACTGCCTCAGTTATGGCATCCATAAAATAAAGATTTGCCCTAAAAATAAAGGACTCACCTGCCATTGGAAAAATGTCAGCATTTATTATTATTGTTGACAGGAGTAGCTAATACTGTTGAACTTATCACATGCCTGGCAGTAAACTAAGTGCTTTTCTTACATTTTCTCCTTTATTCTTACAACCTTCAAGACAAGCACTATCATTAGCTCCATTTTACAGATAGGAAGGCTGAGGTTATACGTGAGGTTTTTTAAGAAGCCAAGCTCGGCTCTGAACTTAGACAGCCTGACTCCAGAGCCCAAACCCCAACTCTGTGCCCCTCCCTACCAAACAAGGTGGGGGGTCAGATGAGCCAACGTAGGTCTCTTTTCAACCCCGAAATCTCAAGATTCTAATTATACCCTCAGGAGGCATCTCTCCCATTATATGGGCCGGCAAACTGAGACTCATACAGCAGATCAGAAGGAAAGCCAGGACAGAGGGCTTCAGAAAGCAGGGCGGGTTCTCAGCTCAGACTCCAGGTCCCACCCCCTGGGTGGGCCCAGAGATCCCACAAATAGGTGCCAAGCTGCCCTGTCCTGGCAACTGTCCGATGCCCCAGGAGAGGGAGGCAGTGGTTCCACCCTCCAATTAGCCGGGAAGGCGGAGGCAGACACATGGCTTTCCCACCTGGATGCTGAACTTCTCAGCACCAGCACAACGCCAGGCCCTGCCAAGTCCAGGGGTGCCAGATGGGTGTGAGTTCTAGGCTGGCATTCTGGCCTCCACCTGCCATCAGGGAGGAACCCCGGTGTGGAGGCGAGCTCGGGAGCGCCCCTGCCTGCTCCTTTCCCAGCATTCAGGGGCCAGGAGGCATCTGCGGATACCAGTCCCAGGGCCTGGACACACCTCTGCCCTAGAGAGGCAAGTGCCCTGGGCTGGGGGGCGTCTCCACTCTGGACTGGACTCCAGAATTGAGTGGGACACTCTAAGTACTGGCCTCAGCTCCCTGCACCCACCCCCAGAAGCCTTCAGGCTTAGGAAACTCTATCTCCCCCTGAACGCTGGAGGGGGGCCCTGAGGACTGGAGCTCGGCCTCTGCATCAAACCCGAGGCTCCCAGAGAAAGGACAGTGCCTGCTCTGCAGTCCCTGTCCCCCAGGGGGCACAGTGATGCCTCCTCATCACACTGCAGTGCCCGGAAGGCAAGGACTGTGCCTCTTCCTTCAGGCTGACGGCACCCGAGGGCACCCAAGGGCACCCGAGGGCAAGGCGTATCCACTAGAGGCTGGGAACAAAAACCAGCCTCCCGCCATGGTGCACCTTCAGGGGCCGCTTCTTCCCTCAGGGGGTCCCTAAGCCTAGAGCTACGCCTCCCCCCCACTGGGTCTTTTCCAGCAGGAGCAGCACCTCCTCCCTCAGTCCCCAACAGGACGGCCTCAGCCTGGCTTTCAGCAGGAATAAAAGCCCCCCCCCGCCCCCCCAGGACCCCAACCTTGGTTCTGGGTGTAAGTGGAGGTCTTCTTGAGCGTATACTGGCGCCCGCAGGCCTCCTCCTCCTCCATGACCCCCTTGCTGCTGACCGAGGGCACACAGGTGTTGGCGCCCGAGTGGATGCCCGAGTCGTAGGTGTACGTCTGTTGCCACTCAGTCACCTTGATGGGTTGTTCGATCAGGTTCATCACCTCCATGGTGCCTGCTGGGGGCACAGAGAGGAGCCATCAATCAGTGGGCGTCCCACCACCACCTGGCCCCGGCTTCGGCCCAGCCCCGCCTGCCTGGTGCCCAGCGCCCCACCACAGCCCCACAGGCCGCGTGAAACGTGTTGGCGAGTGGGAGCATAAGGGCACCCCGGAGGGGTGGAGTCCCAGGGGTGCCAGGTGGGTGTGAGTTCCACACTGGCATTTTTGGCCCCCGGCCCAGACTGGACTGGACTCGCACGGGGGCTGGGGCAGTCAAGGGCCAGTGAGCCCAACCTGGGCCTGCACTCGCCTCGCTGTTGCGACCCAGCACGCCCAGACAGAGGCGAGCAGGCGGCTGTGGTGCCCACACCCCCACCCTGCTGGGGAGTCCTGGGAAAAGCTGCAGAGGTGAGGCAACCGCCCTGGATTGGGAACCGGGTGGGGTGGGGAAGCTGTCGGGGTGGGGAAGCTGTTGGACAGGTTTCTCTGGGGAGCCTGGCAGTCTGCTGGGAGCAGTTAAAGGGTCCCTGGGCTCCCCAGTGGCTCAGGGTCTCATTTTCCTGTAGATGGTGCTGGAGCAAAAATGGCCAAAGGCCCAGGTCCTAAGACCTTGTCTGACCCGACCCCCCCACGCTCCAGCTCCCAGAATTCTGTGCTCCACCAGCAGGCTGACAGCCATTTACTGGGCAATTCACCCCCTTGCTGAGCCCCAGTGTCCTGCCTGTAACATCACCTCCCACCTCCCCCAGAGGTTGTGAGGACCAGATTTAGGAAGGACCCGGGAGGTGCCTGGTGCAGGTGGGTGCTCAGGGCTGGCAGCTGTGGCCGAGCAGTGGCACTGCCAGCCACGCAGGGTGTCTGTCCACCTCTGCCCTCCAGCTCGCTGCCCTCCAGGGGGCCCTCCCCTCTCTGCAGATTTAGGTCTTTGGTCTCAGAAGAGCTGGCCCACTCCGCAGCAGGGAGGGGAGCGCCCACACGGGTCTGTGGTTCCCTGGATGTAGGACAGGTGGGGGCCAGCCCTCACCAGCAGGGTTCGAAGCACATGCCCTGTTTCGCACTTACAGACGTGGAAACTGAGGTCCCACCAGGTGCGGTGGCACAGGAGAAAGGGAACAGAAAAAGTCCCAAGGCAGGGGAACCAGAGGCGCGCGTGGGCACTCCCGTCCCTGCTGCAGAGTGGGGAGGGCCCCTGGCAGGCAGTGACGCCGCACAGGCACGAATGAGTGATACCAGTGCACCCTCAGACAGCAAGGGCAGCACCCCCACCTCCAGCCATTGCCCAGCTTTGCCGGGAGACGGGGCGGATGAGGGCAGAGTGGCGGGTGCAGCCTGGCCCACGCATCGAGTCTTTGTAGTGATGGGCCCAAGTGTCACCCTCGAGGAGGATGACGAGGAGGATGACGAATGACAGGGCCTCGGCTCTCCCGCCTTTTATGGTGAGCCCAGCTCCTCCCTGCTCTCAGCGCACCTGAACAGGCAGCGGCAGGAGCCAGACCAGCCCCAGCCGCCCCCTCCTCTCCTCCCATCACCCTGAGTGAGTCAGAGTTTCAGACTGATAAACAGCAGCGGGTCCAGAACACCAGACAGCAGCTCGGCGCTGCCAGATGTGCCCAGCTGCCTCTCAGGCATCAGGAGGTGCCCCCACCCCTCCCCCCACACAGCCCAGGTCTGTAATCTCTGGCTATTCTCCCTGCCCCACTCTGGGGGAGAGCCTGTCACAGGCCCCCGGCCCCCAGGCAGGCTGCCCCAACATCCAGAGGAGGGTGGCCAGCCCCGGGGTAGTGGGGGGACAGCTGCTTTAAGCCTCTCATGCCACCCTGCTAGCTGGCACTGAGCTGACCTCTCCAGGCCTGAGAGGTCAGGAGAGGGGTAGTCACCCCTCCCCAGAGACCACAGAGCAGTCCCTCTAGGGCCCCATGTCTAAAGGGGCCCCCGAGGTCGAAGCTGGCTATAGCAGCAGAGTTTCCTCCGGGGGCCCCTCACTACATGGCCAGCCCAGGCCTGTGGACGAGAGGCTGACGCTGGCCGCTGCCCAGAGCCAGACAGGGCCAGATAGAGGAGCTCAGTGGTCTCAGTGATCAGCGGGTACCCCGGCGTCCTAGACAGTTGCCTCTACCATCGAAGAAACCCCATTCTTCCTCAAAGCGACCCTGTGGCCAGTTTATGAACCCCGCTTCTAGGTGAAGCCCCGCTTCTACGTAGGGACTCCACACAGAATATGGCAGGGCTCTGCTTAAATCCGGGAAAGAGGGGTGCCGTGGATCAAGAAGCAGGGCTGGCATCCTACCCGGTGAGAGCGAGGGGCCGGGAGGAGAGGCTGGGGCGCTACAGCTGCCGCAGTCAGCACCGCTGAGAAGTCAGCTTCCCGGAGCCCCGGGTTCCAGCCCAGCTCCGCCACGAGGAGCCGGGGGCCCTTGGACAGTTTCCCTCCCGGGCCTCGTCTACACAGAGGCGGCCATGTGACAGCAAAGGAGAGCTGGTGCCTGGGAGTCCAGGAATCAGGAAGAGGGCTCCCCCGACACGAGGGGCTGGGTGGGCATGGTCAGGCTTGAGCAGCAGGTCAGATCAGAGGGGACACGCGCGAAGCCTCCTCTTCAGCAAAGGCGCTCAGGGAGAGCCCGCCGCCCCGGCAGGCTGGACTCAGAGCTCAAGCCCAGTGGACCGGCCGCACCTTTCTCCAGACCTGCTCCCAGGAGAACCAGGGAAACTGTCCCACAAGCAGTGAAAGTGCTGTTTTTGCAGTTCCCAGGAAGGAGGGGACCGCACCCGTGTGGTCTCGTCCCTCTCCGCCCTGGACCTGGGGAGCCGTGGTGAAATGGCCCGGACAGCGCCAGGGTGGAAGTGGGCGAGACAGACGCGGGCCCTGCCCATGCACCCTGGCCAGGGACGGGCAGAGCCAGACAGTGGCCCTGAGTTGAATGGGGTGCCTTTGTTCAGCAGCGGGCTCCACTGTTGACCACAAGGGAGGAAGCCAGCTCAGACAGCAGAGGGTGGGGTGGGCGAGAGTCTGGTAGGGGCAGGAAGAGAGGAGACAGGGCCCTGAGCAGGGAGCCTGAAGGCCCCTCCCCTGGCAGGTCCACTCTGGTCAGAGGCAATGGGGCGACTCTGGGCAGACCCTGCCCTTCAGCCCTGCACCCTACATCCAAAACTGTCCCAGTGGGGTGTGGCCTAGACCTGACATCAAAAACAACTCCCACCAGCCTCCTGTCCCAGCCAGCGCTGCTGGGGACGGTCCTCTGTGGGCACAGCTGGGCTGGGCTGCAGGACACCAGGGTCAATAAAACACCTGGGGAACAGGGCACCCAAGAGGTGTGCAGGAAGCAAAGCCAGGGACATTGAGGGGGGACTCAGAGCAGGTGGGGCCCTGGAGGTGCTTTGGGCCCAAACCAGCCGCTGTACAGACTTGATGGGCCTGGACAGCGATGGAGGCCAGGCATTGTGGCAGAGTCAGGGCAAGACCCCCCACCCCCCACCCACAGGCTGTATGAGGGAAGGGGTGCGCAAGCCACTGCTTTCCTCAGAGTCGATGGGTCGACGCATATCTGCTGTTGATAGGAAAGGGCCAGGCAAGTGTCCTTCTCTGAGGGCGGCACAGAATGGAGATGAGGAGGCGGCACAGAGACAGGCCTGGCCAGCTGCTTCTCAGGACCCAGGACACAGACAAGGCCCAGGCGGCCTTTCTCGCTCTCAGCAAACAAGAGCTAGGCGGAACCTGTCTCCCAGTGAGGCCAGAGCCTCCTGGCAAGGGGCTATAGGGAGGGAGCTCTGGAGGGCCTGGGGGGGGGCCAGGGGGAGACCTGCCACAGCAGCCAGGTCAGGAAAGCAGCTCTCAGGGAGAGGGTGCTCCACAGGGAAGCAGCCCCTCGCTCTCCACTGCCTCTGGTTCCAGCAGAGATTTGGCCAGGGACCCCAAGCACAGATGGAAACAGACTCGAGAAAGGTCCAGAAACAGGCAGCACTGCTTCCTTTGAGAGCCCTTTCTCCCCCACCAGGCTGGGGCTTCCCAACCTGGCCTCCATTCTCAGACTGGTGGCTCAGGGAGGAAGCCCCTGCAGAATAGAGGTTCCCTGGCAGGGACTGTGATTTTCCCCACCAGACTGGTCATTCCGAATGGGCAGACACCGAGCGGGCACCATGAAGAGCAGGGCTCTGGAGACAAGAGAAGACAGAGAAGCCCATCCCCAGCTTCCGGAGGAAAGCCTAACTTCCGGTCTGGAGGGCAGCCCAAGCTGCTGTTGAGGACTGGCGGGGGTTGGGAGGCTCAGGTCAGGCCAACCCAGCTGCTGTTTGTTTTCTTCCTTCTGGGCTCCTGCCCAAAGCAAACAGGCCAGGGTGGGAAAATGAAGGGGACTTGGAGGAGCAGGAAATGCCTCCCGCCAGGTGGCTCGACCTGGGGAACCTCTGGGCACCCTTGGGAAGGACTCCAGCTGAAGGGCCATCCCCTGCAGGTCACCCTCTGTGGGCAAAATCCCAAGCTGGCAGGTAACCCCAAATCAGGACCCCTGGGAATAGAAAAACACTTTACCCAGCCCCAGGGAGCAGCGGCAAAGGGCTGACATGCAGCGCCTCACCCAGCAGGCCTGGCTGCCCAGATGCCAGCTGGGACCAGCTCCTGGGCGCCACTCCCCAGGGGGCCCACTCCTAGAGGCTCCCACCTCCCTGTCTGGGAGAGCAGGGAAGACTGACTTAGGACTTAGTTTCCTACTCAGAGTAAGCTGGAGATCTCCAGTTTGGATAAAGGTTTGTTTTTCTATACAGAGCATGAGCTCATTGAGATTGAGATGAGGATTGAGAATCCTAGGAGGCTAAGAAAAGAAAGGTCAAGGCATGGGCTGCAGCCAGAGGAGTGGGGTTAAGGGTGAATTGAGGGTGAGTTTTTTTCCTCTCTGGCAATTTTTCTGGACTTTCCTAATTTTTACAAAATGGTTTGTTTATTTATGCATACAAGAACTGGGGTGCAGGCCAGAGCTGGGGGGGGTGAGAGGATTCACCAGAGAGAGCGGGGAGCAGAACAGGCAGATCTACAGAAACTGCTGAGGGGAGCAGGGGGTGAGACAGGAGAGGTCTGCCGCGCCACGTGGGTCACTCCTGGCTGGGAACCGAACTCTAGTTTCATAGGGCCGCACTTAGCCCACTGTGCCACCAGGGAGGGCCCGTTGTTTTTTAACAACAATTGGATACTATGTTTTCCATTGACAGGGGTCTCCCGAGGTCCCCATGTGCAGGCACCTGATAGCCCACCACACCCCACGGCCCACCACGCTCCACGCTCTCCCATGAGGACAGCCAGGAACAAGGTGGGAGGAAAGCAGGCGTGTGACCTGCCCTTTGCACACCCCGTGAGTGAGCTCCCTGCCCTTAGCACCCCTGAAGGCTCCGGTGCCACGAGACTGAACAAAGCAGGCCTGGGCAAGAAGTTGCCAGAAATTGGGGCAGTCCACACCCCTAGACTTCCATGGGACTCAGCCATGTGCCAGGAAAGAGTGTCATAGTGTCAGTCGCAGGGACAAAAACAAAGATGACCTGCTCCAGCCACACTGTGCTGCTTTCTCACCTGCTGGCGGACATCTGCCCTCACAGCCAGGTCTCTTTCTACCAAAAGACGCAAGACTTAGAGTCTCCCAGGGACCCCAAGAGACTGCAGAGTCACCCCAAGGGTAGTGATTCCTGCCCACCCTTTTGCCAGGCTGATGGCCATCCCCCACCCAGCGCACCCCGATGGGGCTTGGCTTCAGCCTCTTCTGCGTGGGCCCTGAGCTACACCTCTTCCTCTTGTCTTGACTCAGGAGCTCGCCCTGACAGACACGGCCTGCATTCCTTCCCCAAGTCTCAATTCCACCCACAGTCTCGGTGGCTCCTGTATCCTCAGGGTGATGAGAATAGTAAACCCTGCGCCCAATTTGGGGAGATCGGATGGAAATGACTTCATCCTTTTCCTTCTCTGTCACATCAAGTCTTCTCGGGCTTTTCTTCTCCAGGGTCAGCAAGCTCCGTATCTGGGCCCTGTCCTGACCTCAGGAGGCCTGGAAACCCTCTGTGCAAGCTCAGTACTCACTTCCCAGGCTCATCCTGGTGCCAGGTGCCTCGTTGGCAGAAGTGCCGAAGACAGCCAGGGGCACCACTGTCACTGGAGGGCCGAGTCTGTCCGGGCCTAACCCCACCCCCAGAAAGGTTCTCCCAACAGAAGAAAACTCTCCTTCCAGGCCCCAGGCTCCTGGCCCTAAAGTGGAAGCCCAGGTAGCTCCCACCAAGAGCACCCTGGCAGCACCAACTGGTACAATCCAGCAGGATGTTGGCCCAGTCCAAATCTGACTCTCGTTTCTCTCCACTCTCCAGGGAGCAGGCCCCCCTTCATCTTGGCACAGCTCCAGCCCCCCAGCAAACTCCCACTTCCTATCCTGGACAAGCCCAGAACAGCCCACAATTCTGCCCAGCTCAAGTCAGGAGGCAGCTTTGACCCCTGGTCTCCTCTCTCCCTTCCCTGATGTCCCTCTCCACGCACCCCACCCCACACGGCCATACAGTCCCCAACACAGCTCTAGGACTTAGACAGAGAGCCCCTTCCTGCAGGAAGGAAAAGCCAAGCTACAAGGGAGGTTTTAGAGGGCTGGAGGCTAGGCCGTGACTCACTGTTCTGACACATCTACCCCCACCTTCACCACCCACACATACCTTCCCCGGCCCTTGTAAATTCTCTTCTTCCCAAACTCTCAAGCAGAGGATCCCAAAAAAGGGTGGTAGAAATTTCTTCCCAGAGGTGCAGCAAGGAGATAGAGCAGGATGGGCTCACCTTGGAGTCAGAGACCCTGCTTGGGTCTTTGCTGTGCAACTTTGGGCAAGTTACTTCACTTTACTGAGTCTCAATTTCCTCACCTATAGAAGGTGGTAATGCTATCTGCCTCTAGGGATAGTCACTGAGATTCAGGCAGAACTGTTAGTAAAAGTGCCAGGTATCTGTAAGACAGGACTTTTTAATTCATCTCTTCCTAAGTACTTATTAGGTAGGTAGGCATTATTCCCATTTTGCAGAAGAGATTACTAATGCTCAGAGAGGGGATGTGATTTGACCGAGGCCACACAGCAATCAAAGATAAAGCTGGAATCCAAACCCAGCTCAGTCCCAGCCCAAACCTGTGCTCAGAAGCTCCCCAGCATAACCGCTCTCCCAATAAACAGCCCACCTCATTCTAAGGTGGGTTCCTATCCCCAAGCCCACATCACAGGCTGGGGAGGGAGGGACTCTCTCCTAGGTAAGGGCCATGCCCACTGCCCATGGTAAGGTTCCACTCCCAAGGCTCTCCAGGAGGTGAAAGAGTGCCATCTCCAGCCTGACCTTCACTCCCCAGCTTCATTCTCAAAGCCCTGGCATCCTGATGGGAGGTTCCAGAGGGTGCGGGGTGGGGGTGGACGCACTCCTGTCACCCAAGCTGGGGCTTGATCTAGCAAGAAATGACTAATTGGGTCCTATCTTTTTCCCCACCCTCTCCCTCCAGTCCAGTAAGTGGCACACTTTCAACAGGCACCTCCAAGCAATACTTCCTGAGTATTATCTTTTCATCAGAGTCACAAACCAGATTAGCTAAACTACTCATTTAACCAATGTGATTACAATCCCTTCCCCTCCTCCACCTTGGCACCCAGAAAAGGGAAAACAGGTTCTCTTTGCCTGAACTCCACGGCTCCCTCGAGGTACACTGCCCATTAGAACAGAAGACGGAAGAGGGTTCTCTCCTCAGCCTTCCCCAGACCTGAGAGGCCAGATCAGATCCCTACCCAGGGGAGCTCTCCCCCGGGGGTGGGCCTGACCTGACTGGCCCCCACACTACCATCTACAACCTACCCTGAGCTGGGGCACGCAGCCCTGATCCCCCCTTCTATCTTGTCACCCCAGCACTGAGGGAGGGAGAAGGGGGTGCTTTTGCATATCCCTTCTGTTCCCCAAGGAGGCTAGGCTCCAAAGTTCTTCAAAAAGACCACACTTCAGATCTTTGGAAACCAGGGTCGGTGGAGATGGCCACTCTGGCCAGTGGAGGGATTCCCAGGAAGTGGTGCGGGGAGGTGGCTAGGGCAGCTCTGCCCAAAACTACACCCCACCCCCAAAGTGTCCCCTCCAGTCCCACTTTCCCCATCGAACTCAAGAAAGGGAGGTGGGTGGGAAAAGATAGCAAAAGCCTCCAGAAGGAGGCACCTTCATGATTCAGAAACCGAATGGCTATTTTGCCTCTTTTGCCTCATTCTCCGAGTTCTGCCTCAATGACCAGCTAGCTCCAGAACTGGCAGGGTGGGACGGTAAAAAACTGGCAGGATGGGACAGAGTTAAAAAAAAAAAAAAGAACAATCACACCCCCCACCCACCCCGGCCCAGTCCCACCCCCATTCCTGGGGAGGGGGGCAGAGCCAGGGAGAGAGTTATCAGGTCGACCTCTACCGAGGGGGTGTGGTGGTCCCCGGAGGCAGGAAGAGAAGGAAGAAGCTGCTTCCCCTTTCAGCCCCCCCACCCCCAGGCCCCAGGGGCCCAGCAAACAGGATGGAGTGGGGGTAGGGAGGCCAGGTCAGAGCGCAGGCACTGGCCTGGGTTCGGCCTGCAGGGACTGGAGGACCCCGTAAGGCTGGGGAAGTCATGGGCAAGGAGACAGGAAAACCCCCTGAGAGAGCTGGCATGAGTACTTCCTCCTGGAAAGTTTGTTTTGGGCGATTTTTCCGACAACAGAGGTTAGAGAAAAAGGGTAGTCTTTTTTCCCTATCAGCGCTCCGAAGCAGCAGCTACTGGAAACTGGGCCAGTGAGTTCGCTACCTTGCAGGAGCCCACCACCACACCCCAGTCCCAGCCTCGGGTGTCAGACCCTTGCGGTGCAGACTGCCCTGCGCTAGTTTCTCCCGCATCCCACCCCACCTCTGCTGCAGGAGCCTTAGCCCGGCACCCACCAAGCAGAGAGAGTTGCCCCAGGTACAGTACCGACCTGACTCCGGGACTGGAGGGCAGGGCCTCTGGACTCCGTAAGCTCACCTGCTCAGCAGGTAGGGCCCGCGATGCTGGGAAAATGTGCACTCGGCCCCCACACTTGGGCAAGCCTGGCGCAGACAATAGGGCCCCACCCAGGCCTGGGGGAGTTGGGAGGGAGGGGAAGCCAGGATGACGCGTGAGGTGGGGTGAGGGTGGCCCCAAAGAGACCAGCAACAGCAAGTTTCCCAACAGTACATTCCCGCCTGAGGAGTGAACCCTGGGATGCAAATGAAGAGGGTCAAAGTCTCCCCTGCAAGCCCAGGCCAGAGTCAGAGAGGTGGCATCAGAGGAGCTCTGGAGCTCCGCCGGCTCCTGGCCCCAGGAGCCGTGCGACCCCGGGGACACCTGCCCGATCCCTCCCCGTCCTCCTCTGGACTTCAGAGCCCCAAGGAGCGCTGGGCTCAAACCTCGCTCCCCCTTAGTCGCCGTGCCCAGGACCCCAGAGCGCCCCCTGTCGCCGGTGCAGGGTGGCGCCCCCTGGCACCCGCCCTCACCTGCCCTGAAAAGGCGAGGATCGGCCTCTCGGCCGCGCGCCGCCCTTCCCTGAGCCCAGAGATCCCTTCCCCGATCGTCCGCACCTGTGTGTGGAGCCTGGCCGGGCTGGGTAGGGATGGGAGCCGGCGCGGGCAGCGAATTGAGGTCTGCGCGCTCGGGCGGCGGCCGCTCCGGACTCTGGCCAAGGCAGCAACTCCGTAACCGAACAAAAGGCGAAGGGACCTGACAGCCAAGCCACGCCTCTCGCCCCGGAGCCCCGCCCCCAGGGAGACGCCCACCCTCCGAGGCGGGCTCACTGGCTGCCTCTCCTGGCTGTCCTGCCGAGGGGCGGGGCCGCCCGCGCAGTCCTCGGCCACCGCCGCCTGTGTTTATGCCTTGGCCATTGGCCCCAGGGACTGCCTGTCGGCTCTGGGGACTACAGAGATTCCAGCCTGACACCGCACCTATTGGCAGGCAGAAGGTTACTTCCTCCCGATTGGGCGAGGAGCTGTCAGTACGTCTAAGCAAAAGGACCAATGGGAAAGACGGGGCGTGTCTTGCCCCACCCTAACTCTCAGCAGGTAAGACTCATTCATTACTCTCCCCTTCCCCCTACCTGTCCAACAGGTGAGTCAGGGGGTGCCATGGGAAAGCACAGACGCCTTCACAGGCCCGCCAACTCAGCGTCAGGCTGCTGCTTCTTTGGGCTTATTCACCTTTGCCACAAAGTCGTAATAACATATTTGTGGAGCATTTCATGAGCTCATTGCTGGGCTGGGGTTCCCCCCCCAAGATGGCGGGCTCTTGGGATTGAAAATCAGGAGTCCTTGGTTTGGTTCTGCCACTTAGTGACTACGTGGTCTTCAGCATTCACCCTGTTGCTCCCCACCGTGAATGGGTACATTAGCTAGATCTCTCACACAGATGTGTGGAGGTCGAATGAAGCTTTGACTTACTTGGACAACTGGTAAATGTTAGAACTCAAGTCAGTGGCATGGGCTTTTTTTTTTAAGATTTATTTATTTGTGCATACAGAACTGGGGTACAGGCCAGAGATGCAGGGGCAATGAGAGGCTTCACCAGAGACCCCTAAAGTGGGGAGCAGAACAGGCAGATCGTCGAATTACACTGCTGAGGGGAGCAGCGGGCGGGTCAGGAGAGGTCTGCCGAGCCATGTGGGTCACCTGGGGGCAGGCGGGGATCGAACTCATGCTGCAGTGGCTTTAGCTTCTTAGTGCTGCGCTTTAACCCGCTGCGCCACCAGGCAGGGGCCACACTATGGGATTTTTTAAAAAATTCTTCCAATGATTTTGAAAGGCTGTGAGGACAACAAATGCTGTTTGTTTTAAAGATGGGGAAACTGAGTTTCCATGAGTCCACAGAACTAGAAAGGGCACATGCTAAACTAAATCTCCTTTTGTCTCATTTCAAGGACCACAAACCACAGGTCTCCTGGTGGAATAGCAGCTTAGACACAAAAACGTTAAAGCAGTGGGAAGGGGTGAGGGTGGGGAAGCAAACTCAGTCTCCTGGGAAGACAGAAGAGCAATGATGGGGTGCAAAGATGGAGACGGGAGTGGTGTAAGGAGGCTTTGGTGGGTTTGGAAAAGATCAGGCAGCGAAGCTACAGGAAATCAGCATGGGCACAAAAGGAACGGACAGCCAGCTTCTCCGTGGCTCAAGTCTATTAGCTATCAGAGGGAGCCCCAACAGGTGAGTGAAGAAGACGGGGCGCTTCCTTTCTGTGGCAGTGAAGTGCAGGCCTGCTGGCGCAGCCAGTGTGAGAGGCAAAGGCCAGCCGTTTCTGGACACTCGGGCACGGATGCACACACCATGTGTTGGGCAAACCCCTGGTGACACGGGAAGTGAAAAATGACCCCCAGGGGCGAAAAGTGGGCTGGGGGAAGCAGGTCTCCCCACCCCTCTGTTGGGGGAGTGACTGTTGAGGAAGGGTCCCCTTCAAAAATGTTGTCTAGCCCCAGAGCTGGCCACAGGATGGGTTAGGCAAAGGCCCCTAGTGGGATCCTTAGCCCCTTTCCCCACCAGAAAAAGAAGCAATGGCTGAGCAATCTCACTTACTTCTCAAGTTTGTGCCACCTACCACATCTTCCTGTTGACATCTACACCCCTAATCAGTTACCATCATCCCCCATGCCAGGCCCCTGCCCTGGGGTCCCTTCCCTACCTCCTGCTTTCCCCTACCTTGCCCAGACCCAGCCACCCGCCTGCTACCCTGCCATGCCATGCAGTGGCCCTCGCAGTGGGGGGCGTGGGGCTGAACCACAGTCCTAGGCTGCCTTGCTTCTCCCACCCCCCAATTCCCCTGCCCACCTCCATCTCCCCCCCGCTTCCACCCCATACACACACCCAAGCCTGCTTCACTCCCTCTTTTCTCCTGACTTCAGCACACAGCAGGGTAGGGCTGGTTGACAGCGGAGGGGTGGAGGAGTCTGGGTGGAGTAGAGGAGCCGAAATAAAACTTCAGAATGAAGCCTGTGTGCGTACATGTGTGTGTGCGCACATCACCCAGAACGCTCCCGAGTGTCTCAGCCTGGAACCTGCCGCAACACGCCAGCCCCAAAGCAAAGTGCTCGGGTCGGGGCTGGGTGAGGCGCCACCAAGCAGGAAATTCTGGCAGGAGAGCTCCCAGATGGCTCCTCCCAGATCAAGGGCTTTGCTGCGCCTGTATTACATGCCAGTCTACTAGGCACCTGCCAAGCACAGGGGTCCATCTGTAGGACACAAAACAATGTTCCCTCGATCAGCTGTTAGGTAGGAGTGTGGCCTCACAGGCTGAGGTCTGCCGAACACCAGGGATCAGAATGAGGGCTGCCGTGGCCTCCTCTGTAGCTTGAACCTGAAGGAAAGGCCCTCAGAGCGGCTCCTCCCGGCCTGTATAGGCAGGGATCTCCGTTTGCCAAGTTCCCTGTGAGGGAGGTGCTCCAACCTCCACCGGGACACCTGCTTCTCCTTCAAACGCTGCAGTCTAGCCACAGAGTCCTGCCAAGGACACTCAGCTCTCTGGCCTGGAGCAGACTCACAGGCCCCCAGGAATGCAGGGGCTCAGTCCACCTTGCAGCTTCCTAGGGCCTGAGAGTAAAGGACTCACCCCACTGCCCTGCTGCCAGGAGTAACTGGCAAAAGGGGCCCAAAGAGGACCTGTTGGGAGCGGGGTTTGCTGGAGGGGAGTGCATCCCCAGGGGAAGAGCAACATAAGCCAGGCACCCCCTCAGCTCATCTGACTTCCTGTCATCCTCCATGAGGAGGTCTCTGGGCCTTATAAGGAGGCGGAAGGTTTCTGGTTCTTGTTCAAACTCTCGGTCTTTCTCTCCAGGAGCTCTTTCCCCAGACAGAGGCAGGAGGAGACTTAGGTGGGCACAAGACACACGCACACACACACACACACACACACACACACACACGCACCCTTCTGTGCTGACACCCTCGCACCTCAAGAATATGCAGCCATGGGCCCCAATTCAGGTGCACAAATGCCTGGCTTATCAGCACTCTCTCCCCAACACACACACACACACACACACACACACACACACCATTCTTCCCTCCTCTTGGGTTTAGGCTGGCCTGGGGGACAGCATCTCTATAAAGGAGGCCAGGGTGAACAGGTGGACAGATGCCACACCTCAGACTGGTGACATACTTTTCACCACACAGCATGCCCTCACTGGTCTTGCAGCAGGCGAAAGGGGAGCAGAAGACGGGAGATCCTTCCAGGTGGCAGACTGGACTCAAAGGCAATGTGACTAGCCAGAGGCCTCTGGAACCTGGGCATCTCTCAGGATCCCGGACTGGGCTGGCTCTCAGCATCCCGGCAGAGTCGTGGCTCCTAGGGGACTCCCCCAACCCCAGCGCCTTCTCCTGGGCTCATCCCTCTCCCGTGGGAATCTCACTCAGCTACTGGAAATGCCTAGCCCAGGGCCTGCCTCTTGGACCTGCAGGCTGTCACGCTGATCTTCTGCCCCAGAACAGACAGCAGCACATGTTGGCAAATGGGTGATGATGAGGGGCATGGCTGGGGAGGGAAGGACACAGCTGGACTCGCAAATTGGGGTGTCCAGTGTGTGCCTGTGCTGGAGGCCCCGTGTGCTGAGGATGTGATCAGGAGGGAAGACGGGCCAGAGGCTGGGGGGCAGGGAGCAGTTTTCTCCCTGCCGCAGTCTAAGCAGGGGCTGGGTTCCATCAGCCTTTCAGACCATGGTGCAGACGTGTGTCAGGGATATCTCGGCAGTGTGCTCTTGATCTGAACCTACTTAGATCTATGGTATGTGGGTCTCCCCTGGCGCTCCTGTCACCGCTTGCTGGGAGGGGAGCTTGCTAGGGTGACCCTTTGGGACTGGACAGAGGATCCTGGCTACAGAGAACCCAGGGCCCCCAAGCTTTCTGACTGGCATGGACCCAAGTGTTTTGGGAGCCTGACGGGATGTTGCAAGGCCCCCGGGGTGGGGGTGCTCCTGACATTTTCCCCTGCCCTTTGTCCAGGGGAGGAGTCTAGAGGCTGGAGGCTGCCCACAGCCTGGCCCTGCGGGTGGGCGGTGGTGGGGAGGGCTTATAGTGACAGAGGTAGCTTCTGCGCTTTTCCCTGCAAGGCCTGTGGGCGGGGATGGAATGTCAAAGGGAAAACTGGGAGACAGGAAAATAGAGATAGGAAGGGCCAGAAATAGCTCAGGCCAGACCAGGGCTGGGGCCCGGGCAGGGGCTGGCGGTGGAGAGAGAAGGCTGAAAGAAGGGTCACCCCCCCCCATCTTTCCCTACAAAGTGCAATTATAGGACCCCGGAAGCCCCACAGGTGGGCTTCAAGCATCATAACTGTGTTCTAAAGTGGGGGGTCCCTGGCCCTTTGGGCAACCCTTTCCCCTGTCCTGAATGACTGTGGTGAAGAGAGGGGTGAATCTGTTCACCTGAGTCACACCCCTTCCTGCTCCCGGACAGGGCGGCTCACCTAACAGGCTGACACAACGGGAGCCCCACCCACCCTGCCAGCCGCCTGCCCCTCCCTCCCGCCCTCCTGCAACCAGCAGGAGCTGCCTGCCCCAACAGGCGCGCTTCCCACTGAGAGGCCACCCCTCCCTGCAGGGGGGAGGGGAGACGAGACCCGTCTAGAGCCCTTGGAAAGAGGACCCAGGAACAGTATAATCAGAGGCTCCTTCCGTGTACATATGGGGAAACTGAGGCTGCAGCCTGCACTTCCCTAAGGTCCAACAAGTAAATCGGTCCGGCTGGGAGTGGAACCTTTGCCTCCAGCCCACCAGCCTACTTCTGCCAATTGTGGTTTCTTCCCATGCCTGCAAAGTGGGGGTGGGGGGCAAAGGGTAGGGAGAGGAAGGAGATAAGGATCAATTTTGTGAGAACTCACCATGGGGTGTGACTTCAGGAAAACTTAGAGAGCCAGGGCTGGGGGTGGGCTGGGGGCGGGCTTAGACCCCCAGGGATCTAAATCTGGAACACCCCCCTTCCACTAATCTACAGCCTCTGAGCCACCGGAGCACCACCTAAGTCAAGACAATCAGTTATGCAAAGAGACCTTCCCCCACCAACCCGGGGGGCCTTCTTGCTTCCCCGTCCTGGACTCCACCTTGGTGGGAGCTGGGCCAGGACTTGGAGGCCCCCCCAAACCCGTACATTAATCGCATCTTCTTCAGAAACATCCCGTGGCCACCAGGGAATTTGAGAGTTGAGATCTTTGAATATTTCATCAGCATTTCAGCCTCCAGTTGAAGAAGCAGCCAACTTACAGCTCATGGGTAATTTATGGTTCCAGCAGAGAACCTAGAAGTAGTGAGGGGGAGGGGCAGGAGGGTGGGGGAGAGGGAGACCTGGACCAGGCTCCCCCTTCCAGAGAGTGGAGGGGAGGGTTGAGGGAGGAGCTTCCAGGCCAGGGATATTTCCTGGGATATTTTTGAGGATGCCAATGTATTACTGAACAACAAACAAAAAAACAGTGTTATGAAAATAACAGTGCTGAAAGTTAAAGTCATATGACAGGATTTTCTCACATTATTCCTGTCCCTGTGTGCCCAAACCTCATTTGAGATAACAGAAATTTAACGGGAAGTTCTTTATGTCTGTGAGACTGCAAAATGTCTCACAGCTTCCCACTCCCACCTAGGCCAAGGAGAGAAGTCAGATTCCCCATTAGATTGACGCAGCCTGGCTCCTGCCAAGCTGCGTTGCCTCCCCCAGGAAGGCCACTGGGATTGGACCTAGAGCTCCAGGGAAAAGGAAGGAATCTCTTTTGCCACCCCTTACTTTGCCCCGGGAATTTAACATCATACTTTGCTTTTAAAAGGAAAGATGGAAGAGGCTGGTTTCCCCCCTCCTGACCTCTTTGTGAATGACCTACCTGAGTGAGATTCAGAGAAACATGTATGTGGTGGAGGAGTCAACAAGCAGGCATGTCCTCTAACTCAGTTTCCCCACCTGAGTCATGGGCATGAGAGGCATCCCACCCTAAGGGTTGTTTGGGGGATGGAAGAGATGCTATCTGGGTACCCTGGCGCCAGGTGGGACCTGGCAGGTGGTGATTATGGGGATTACGGGGTGATGTGTCCACACATTGGGCCTCGGGTTGGGCTGTGGCCAGCTCCAGCAGCCGCCCCAGCCCCCACCGCATCCGCCAGGCATCTTGGAGCTTGATGATGGCAGGGAGCGGGGTAGGGTTGTGCCAGCCTTATTGACAGTCAGCCTTGCCTTGGGAGCCCCAGTTAGCCTCTCTGGGCCTCAGTTTCCCATTCCTGAAACTGGTACCATCTGTTAGGGCAGTTATTGGAGAGAAATGGCCTAAATGAAAGCTCCGGAGTGGGGGAGCCGTGGGGGCTTGCTGTGGGGCTGCAAGCACTTTCCCCTGTCAGCTTATGCTCGTGGCCCTAATGCCGACTGACTGGCACAGCCTTCTGACACAGGAAGGGGTCACTCTTTGTCCCCAGGGGAGACCCACTCTCCCAGAGAAGGGGAGCTAAAATTCTCAAACCTAACAGGGAAAATTTTCCATTGGAATTCACTAGAGCTTGGGAGTAGCCTGGGAGGCTTCCCCTTCCCTGGCCATGGTCACAGGGTTCAGCTCGTCTGTCTTCAGGCTCCCTAAATCCCTCCATTCCCATGAGGCTGACAGTGGGGGCGGGGAGCGCAGGCTGGGCTCTGGGCTCAGGTCTGGGAGGCCAGGGTGCTTGGCAGCCGCTGCCTGCCTTCCTCCCCACCCTCCTTCCCCCTCTGTCTTCAGGCCTTCACCTTCCTCTCTGCAGCCCCAGCTGACAGCCTAAAGGGACAAAGCCACAGAGACCTGGAAGGAAAAGGCTCAACCCACTTGTGCCACCACCGCCCTCAGAGCACCCTGACAAGCTGTTGTCCACTCCTCAGCCTGAGCCTTAGCAGAGGGAACTGACTGTTTTGAGGATCAGAACAGGCTGCCAAGTGCTGAGCACACAGTAGGTCATAAAAAGCTGCCAAGTGCCGAGCACACAGTAGGTGTTCAACGCAGTGTCCCGGCGATGCTCTCCATAGGATGGGCTCTTCCCGGGGCCAGGGCCAGCATACCCCGTGGCACCTTAGTCTGGCCCTATTGTGCCAGGACCCCCAGTGTCTTCTTGGACTCTCCTAATCTCCCTGTTACACTGCAGATGCCACCACTGAAGAGGTGCTGGGTGAAGGTTTGGGGCAGGTAAGGAGGGGCTGGGTCAGACCAATGTGGAGGAGCCAGGGCGTCTGGACTGGGTGGGGCTCCATGAATGGGCTAAGGGGCCCCAGAGGGCCCAAGCTGCCAGGCCAAGACTCCGTCTCACCGGTTTGGGGAGCTGGCTGTGCAGCGGAGAGACGCTGGCATCAGGGAGAGGCGGGAGGGGCTGGCGGCCTCCAGCGGAAGGGGAGCTGACTAAGAGGACTGCTGGGGCCGGGTCAGCCTGGGCTAAATCTTGGATGGAGGGGGAGCGCCTAGAGAAGGGCCAGCCCTCTGCTCCCAGGGGAGCCCCCCTCTTGGCCACATCCTCAGAGGTCACTCCAGATGCACGTTTGCATGCACTCCTTAAACTGCAACTCTTCTCTCCGCCCCCTTTCCCATCTCACTGATCTAAAAGAGTCATACATTCATTTATTGTAACATTCCTTGTTACTGCCTGCCTTTCCGCTGGAAGGCAAGCTCGCAAAGGGGCTTGGCCAGGTTTGTTCACCGCTGCAGGCCCAGCTCCTGCAGTGCAAGCAGCACATAGTAAATGCTCAGTAAATAAGCGCTGAGCACGTGTAAGAACGCTAGCTAGCCCTGCAGGCAGGCTCGCTCCGACCCGCGCACGCACACACGCTGGGTCCCCAGGCCTTGGCCACTGACATTCGCAGACACCTACGCAGGTCCACTCGCTCACTCACACCCGCGCAGGCACCCAGACCTCTCACTCCTGCGCACAAGCACCGTCAGACTCTCACCCAGCCGCCCAGATTCTTTAGCTGCGGCTCATGCAGGCACGCTAGGGCACGTCGCTCCCCACCCCGGGGGCAGCCCCGCCCAGAAACGAGAGGCGGGGCCTCGGGGAAGCTGACCGAACTGCAGCTTGGGGCCGGAGGACCGGGCGGGGCCACCCTGGAACCTGGGGAGACGCTACCTGGCAGACCCACCTATGGGAGGGAGGAAGGAGTGAGGTCACCGGCACCCCCAGTCTGGACCCCGCCCGTGCTCCAGACTGCCACTCGGTCTTCCTGCCCTCCATGAGACCAAAGTTCCAGGGGAGGGGTTTGGGGTGCGGTAGGTAGGTGCCCTCCTGGGCACAGAGGGGGCGGGGCCCAGGCTCGGCAGACTGGCAAATCTAGGGGAAGGGCGGGGGTGTGGACGGTGAGAACTGGGCATCCCAACTCTAACTCCACCCTCCAGTACGAAGAGTGCTCCTCCACCCTGTCCCTCTCCCTCCCGGAGGCCAGAACCGAGGGGAGCTCGGCTGAATGGTCCCTTGACTGGCCCTGGCCCTGGGTCCCTCCCTGGAGCGGCCCCGTTTGCACCCACTTCTCTACTGAGGAACCGGGGGCTGGGGGGGGAGGCTAAGGGGGAGCTGACCCCCACATCTCTGGACTCTTTGCCCCAAGAAGCAGGCTTCGCCATCAGACCCGTACACCAGGGCTCCTGGGCAGTAACGCTTGGGATGGGGAGGACGGGCAGAGGATGCTCGCTGAGTCTAAGGAACCTGGGTCAGTAAATGCCTGCAAGTAAAAGCCGGAGGAAAATGTCTAGGCCCCATCCCCACACTCCCACATTCCCCAGGGGAGGCGGTGCTGAACCAGGCAAAAACAGGCCATCGTATCTGAGAAATCCAAACCACCTCCCCGGGCCTCTGGCGGGAACGCGTCCTCGCGCCCCCTGGCGGCCACTTGCAACGGCGCACCGCTCGGGTCTCCAACACGGCTGTGCACCGGCTGGGCTGGGCAGCCTGGACACCGTTGCATTTAGACAGGAGGGACGATGGGGCAGAGGGAAGGCTCTTTGGCCTCAGCCGGCTCTGAGGGGCCTGGGCCCCAGGCACTGTGATTCATTCAATAAGAAGTGTTTATTTAGCACCCACTGCCGGTGTGCCAGGAATGGCTGGTCTGTCCCGCGCTCTTCACAACTGCCCCTGTTGTCTCAACAGTTCAGGCCGAGGCCCCAACTACACGGAGCTGGAGCTTCTCCTCCAGGAGACTGCCCCAGTGGGAGAGCACTAGGCAGGAGGCCCGCCCTCAGCAGGGGCAGCACCACCCGCCCCCCCTCCCTGCTCCTGGGACCCAGCAAGGAGGCAGGGATCTGGGCAGCACTTGCAGGTGGAATGGGAGGGGGCCTGGTCAGCTATGTCCATTTTACTTTTTTTAATAAATAGCTCTTGCCACTGGCCCAGGCTTCCCGAGATCTTGACAGGTATAGGGTGGCTCTCTGTCAGGCTAATTCAGGCTCTGGTTCTGAAAAAGAAAGGAGGGAGCATTAGGGTGCCCCCACCCCCAGCCCAACAGGTGTCTGGGCGCTGTCCTAGGAGGTTCAGCAGGCAGGAGTGGTGGGGCTCCGAGGAACAGGCCTCAGCTGGTCCCATCTCCTGCCACCATGTGGGACAGGGGTTGCTGAGAGGCTAGAAGCCTCCCGGGATGGGCTCCAGCCCCCAACACACACTCCACTGCCTCTGCAGCTGGGTGCTGGGTCCTTCTGTCCTCAGCCTCCATCCCAGGCTGCACCCCCCACCATCCACAGAACCTGGCGACTGACCAGCCTCAGCCTCATCGCCCTTGGCATCCGGCTCCTGCCACCAGTCAGCATAGATGCCTTCTTCATAGTCACCCTCTCCCTCAAACTCGGCATCAGATGGGGGGTTCTCGGGCTCCACCGGAGATTCTGTTTCCTCCAGCTCCATCTAGAGAGCCCGGGATGGGGGTGGGGGAGAAACCAGGTAAGAGCAGCAGCAAACCCAGATAGCCATGCCAGACCAAGGGGCCCTCCTGGCTCATCAGTCCTGAAGCCTCCCCCACCCCAGCCTTGAGGTCTCACCCAGGAACTATATGAAGGCTTCTCCCACAAGGTCCTGTTCCCAAAATGCCCTTCCCTGAGCTGATGAAAGGGGCCCCACCAACAGATTTCAATGTGAGCACAAACCTGGTCCTCTATACTGGCCAATTTTTTTTTTTTAAGATTTTATCTATGCATACAGACCTAGGGTACAGGCCAGAGGTGCAGGCGCAGTGAGAGGACTCACCAGAGACAGAGAGGGGAACCGAACAGACAGATCGATGAAGTACACTGCTGAGGAGAGCAGCGGGCAGGTCAGGAGAGGTCTGCCGCACCATATGGGTCATCTCCAGGGCCGGGGATCGAACTCGCACTGAAGTGGCTGTGGCAGCTTCGCAGTGCTGTGCTTTAACTGGCTGTGCCACCAGGGAGGGCCAGACCAATTTTTTTTTTAAAGATTTCTTATTTATGCATACAGGACCTGGGGTGCAGGCCAGAGGTGCGGGGGGTGACAGGATTCACCAGAGACAGAATGGGGAGCAGAATGGGAGGATCTACTGAAATACACTGCTGAGGTGAGACCTTAGAGGCCTGCTGTGCCCTCTGGGTCAGCTCCCTGATGGGGGAAAGAACTCACTGCAGTGGCTGGTGACAGCTTGATAGCGCTGTGTCTTCAAGCCCCGCACCACCAGGGAGGCCTCCGCAGGCCAACTTTTATGCACAAATATGTGGCAAGGAGACTGCTAGTCCTGATATGCCAGCCCATGCTATTTTCCAGGCCAGGAATGCCTTTACCTTGCCTGCTGTGCCCACAAGGCTCTTGCCCAGCCTTCCAAAGCCAGGCATCAGCTCCAGGATGTGGCCCTTGAAGGATGAGCCTACTGGGGGCAGGAGCCCGCAGCAGGGCCCCACGCTGACCCTCCCCTGCACCGCTGGTGGCTCCCTTGCGGGGCTGTGCCATTCATCAGCCCAGCCCAGCCCAAGCACGGTGCTCCAGGCAGCACTATCAAGCTGGCTTCCGCTGACTGAGCACCTGCTCTGTGCTAGGGCCCTGCCAAGTGCGTCGCCTACTTGAGCTCATTTAATTCTGACCACCATGGCACAGGGTGGGCATTATTCTCCCCACGGGGTGGATGAAGAAATGGAAGTCTGAGGGTTTTCTCAGAACTGCCTAGAGCTGCTGCCCACCTGGCAAGCGAGAGCCGAGTCTGGCCCACACCAGTGTGGGCTCTGGCAGTGTCGGTCCAGCCCCATGGCAGTGAGTGCAGTCACCGGTGCATGAAACCGGGGTGGATGAAGGAGCACCGAGCAGAAACTCAGGCTCTCAGGCCTGCACTCAGCATTGGGGTAGCAAGCTGTGGTCCTCCCCAGGGCCCTGCATACACGCATGCATGCCCTCACGGGCTCGTTCAAACTGTCTCTGAGCTTCTACACCATGCGTGGGGGAGCGGGGAATCACTTGGTCCCCTGTCCTGGAGTGCCATCCTTTAGGAGGCCGGCTGGAGAAGGGGCGAGATGGACAAGAGATGCAGTGACTCTAGGTCCCGGCCAAGGTGGCCAGGGAGGTGCTAAGGGTCAGAGCTGGCACTGCAGGCCTAGAGAACAAGCTGTGATTAAGCAGCCAGGGCTTCCTGGAGGTGCCCCTGAGCTGGACCCCAGAAAAGGACACTTGGACACTTCGAGAAGGAGACAGGAACACACCAGAGGGCAGAGACGGGTAGGAGAGGGTCAGGACGGGCCAGCTCTCCTGTTTCCACAAGAGCCCAGTGAGAGAACCTGGGTCCTCCCTCCATCACGGCAGCCACAGCTGGGAATGCAGGGGCCTCTCACCTCATCGTCTGACTGCAGGTATAGGTGTGCGAACTCCAGCAGCTCCCGCAGCTCGGCGGTCTGGTTGTGGTAGAGCCTGGCTTCCTGGAGGGGGAGGGGGTGAGCCTGAGCCTGCTGCCAGATTGGGGGCGGGGGCTTGGGGGGGCAGCAGAGCCCTGGGACCTGGCTCCTCGGTGCCTCTCCAGCTCTGGGGGTCAGCTCGCATGCTTGGAGTGACCGAAGGCCACAGCTGCTCGGAGTGTGGGCTTAAGAATCCGGGGGCCCCTTGAGAAAGCACAGTCCCTGGGCAACGTCGCCCCTGGAGAAGAAAGCAGGGGTGGCAATGTGTGCCCCTTACTTGCCAGGCTTGCTCATGGACTCCAAGGGGTTCCCTTAGTTCGTCCAGTCTGGGGGGTCCGTGGGGACAAGAGCAAGGGCCGTCGGTGAGGGTGATGAGGGACTGGGGCAGGAACAGTCTGGCATTTTTCTTTTCCACTACCAAGGAAGCCAGGGTGTCTCAGACCAAAGTCCCACGCTGGAGCTGGGTGCTGGCGAGGCGGGCAGTCCCACTCCCACTTTGCAAGTGAGGCAAGAGATTTCGAAAGGGCCAGCAATGTCCCCACTACCTCGGAGCTGGTGGACCTGGGACCCCAACCTGGGACAGACAACACAGTCTGTCCACCCTGTCCTGTCCTGTCCTGTCCTCCCGCTACTCCCCCCAGTGGCCCATAAGGGCCCCGATGGCAGTGCCCACCTCCCGGGGCTGGAAGTCCTCCTCCTCCAGGCCCCAGCGGGCCCTGTGGAAGCGGTAATAGACCAGGTTCTGCTGCATGACGTTGTCCCCGGGGTCAAAAAGCATGTAGCTGGCGGCGCTGCGGGCGGCCTGGCGAACGTCGTTCACTGCGGGGGACAGAGAGCGGTATGGCCCTGGTACCTCTCCATCTCAGAGACAACCCCCACCTAGCCCACCCCAATTCCCAGTTGAGTCCAGTACCCCCCACTCCCTAGCCACCTCCCAAAACACCTGTTGGGTACCTCACCCCACCCAGCAATAATGCAAGCAAAAATGCACGGGGCATTTACAGGGTGCCAGTCCTGAGAAACTCATTTGAGCCTCACTGTTACTATTAACACCCCCATTTTACAGGCAAGTAACATGAGGCAAAGACACTAGGTGGACTGCTTAAGCTCACACAGATGGAGAAGGATGGCCTGGAGAAGTCCAGGCCAGCTGCCCAGCCCTCAATCGCTCTGGACCCAGTAAAGGTCCCAGATCTCAGCCCATCCACTCCAACTTCCACCTAAGCTTGGCATCTCTGCGTTGCAGTGACCCTGGAGATGTCTGTCTCAGCCTCTCCTGACACCAGCCATAAGTCCTGGAGCTTTTTATCCGCCATATGAGTAAGGATCCCTTGTCCTCTATATGAGCCTCAGTTTCCTCATCTGAAAAATGGGTCATGTCAGCTGCAGGCAGAGGTGAAAGGATCAAGTAGGAAAAGCAGCCGTGGCCGTTCTATGCAAACTGTGAAGCGCTGTGCAGCTGGTGGTCTATCATGTGCTCCAGAGGCCAATCAGACTCTGCTCCCTCCCACCTCTCACCTGCCCAAGCAGCACCAGGCACCCTCCCCCACTTCCTCATCACCCCTAGCCTTCCTCCATCCCGCGGGGGGGGGGGGCACCCTCCCATTCTGTGACACCCCCAGTACAGTGCCTCCGGCCCACCACCCCTCCAGGAAGCTCACGCTTATAGTAGGCAAACTGCAGGTAGTGATACATGGTGGCCACGAACTTCTCCACAAAGTAGCCACCCACGTTGGGGGTCAAGTTGGTCTCACAGTCCACTTTGCACTGCAGGGATTCTGCAAAGAGATCTGGGGGCGGGGAGGCAGCGGTGAGGGGCTGATGGGGGTGATGGATGTCTTCAGGCCGCATCTGGGCTGGCTCAGCCTGCTTTACCCCACTCCCGTGACATGACGCAAATAAATGCTGAGGGGGACACGGAACTGAGCTGACTGGCCATGCCCACAGCCACCCAGCCAGAGGGAGCCAGGGCATGCGGTTGCAGGTGGGACTGAAGTCCAGCTAGGGAAGCTAAGGTTGGCTTTTCTGCCCCTCACTGAAGGTCACCTGAGGTCAAGGATCCCCAGGGGCAGATTTCATTCTGCACACACAGGCTGGCGGCATGCCATCTTGGCGCCTGGATGCCTGCATTGCCCTCTGCCTGGAAAGCCTGGCCCCAGCCCTCCCCCAACTTAAGGGCTGACACATGTCCAACACCTTGGACGCCGGTGATTGTAGCCCTTGCACACAGCAGCAGAGGACCTGTCATCCTGCCTGTCTCGGTCACCTGAAGGCTCCCCAGGGCCAGGACAACACCTGGCTCCAGCCTCCTCCCAGACAATCGTCAGATGTTCCATAAATTAATTGTATGGAATGAATATTTGTATTAGGGGCCCCAGGAGAAGCGGGTGCTGTGATGGAAGGATGCCCGCAGAGCCTGGGGTGGGGGGTGTGGTACCTGCTATGGCTGGGTAGAAGTCCTTGAAGTCCACCCGCTCCTGGGCCCCCTCACAGCCAGCCAGGCACCGAGCGAAGACAGCCAGGTACTCGGCCAGGGCCCGCTCCATGTCCTCGGTGCTGCCACGGAAATCGCCGCTGTTGTAGAGCTTCACCGCCCGGAGGAACACAGCCTGGAGGGGAGCGTGGCAGCGTCAGCAGGACGCTCCCCCAGGCCCGTGGGGGGCCAGCCCAGTCCTCCGCCCACCTCATAGGGCTGGGCCTCCATGTCCGTGAGGGGCTCATCGGCGGCGTCCAGCAGCCCCCGGTAGTAGCTGAGATACTTGGCGGTCAGCTCGTGCTTGGGGTTCCTCTGGAGGAAGGTGTAGGCCGCGGCCACGGCCTTCTCCAGTCGGTTGGCCTGCGGGGCGGGGACAGCGAGGGCCAGTCGGCGGCCGAGTCCACACACGGGCTCGGCGCCCGAGACCCGCCGGGGCTTGGGGGGAGGGGTCGCCCACCTTGAACTGCGCGTAGTGCAGGTACTGGTAGGGCAGGCGGTTCTGGAAGTCGCGCAGCAGCTGCCGCGGCGGGTAGGCCACCTGGAAGGCGGGCAGCGTGCGCTTGCAGCGTCGCAGGCAGGCGGCGCGCTCCAGGACGTGGCCGAAGAGCCACAGCTCGCGGGCCCACTCGTGGGCCGCG